AACATCTTGGTCTTCACATCTCCAATATCTTCCCTTTATCCAATTATCAGTGCTGCTCCTTAGTTCTGCATCAAATCCCACCGGTGCTTTAGATGACTGAAACCAGATTTGCAGCTTCATTCAAAACGCCTTTAAGTATAATGAACAATTATTGCATTCTCTATTCAAATCATCCATTCTTCATATTAGTCTTGACATACAATTCAGTTCTATTAGTCTTCTATCGATATAGGGTTTATTGGCTGCTCTCTCAACATGCTATAGCCAATTTGGCTAGTTAACTAGCTAGTAACACAATTCAGCGATAGTATCGATCAAAAATGGAGGATTACTCACAAAACATGATATAAATGGTGTGCCACAATTAATGCGCTATCAAAAAGGTGATTGACCTGTTTAGACAGTTGATAAAGCCCTACAGAATATTAAGGAAGAGATCATCACACCAATCATTATGTCCATTTAATTGTTAAAATGTGCCGATTGTCTAGAGTATAGTGTGAGCTTAGACCTTTTTTAAAAGCCGTCTAAGAGGCCAATTGATTTTTATGTTTGCTGATTGCATTTAACTTCCATGTCAGCAATGTTACTTTGTTCAATCTATAATGGCCGATAGCTGAACATTTTATTCTGAACCTCAGAACAGTTGAATTAACGAAACCATTGTCAAGTGTCAAAACAAACCTAGTTGATTCATTACCTGTTCGCTGATTATGCCTAATCCTGTATTTTTGCTGATTTTCTTAAACAATAATCACAAAAATCGTAAATTCCTCATTTCCAACTTTCATATCTGTTAAACTCCACTATACTCATTTTTCTAGTATTTACCCATAGGCTGATAACAGCTCAGTTTTTATATATGACATGATTTTGATGCCCAAATTAATTAACTTCCTAGCATGACACATTTGTGAATCTTATCCATATTTTACAAAGATAAAAAAATAATTTTTGTAATGGACAATACTTGGGAATAGGTGAAAAAACTGAGATATTTTCTCATGTTCTGAGTTTGCATTCATGCGCCTCCATAAAAAGATAGGCGAACTGATAAGGAAGTAGAGGGTAAAAACGGTTTCTCCGATTATGTCCACCTCTAAATATAATGTAAATCCATTATCCAAGTCAAGCTTCTATAAAATGTGTTCATGTGGTCAATTTTAGGTCGAGGAGACCAAAGAATCGCTGAACACACAGAGAGCTAGCGGAGCACAAGGAAAAAAATTAAACATGATATTGAAGGGTCTCAAACTTGTCATTTTGCTGATTATGGTACATCCACAGCTAAGCGCAAAATGGGAGTAGTTATTTAGGATAACAAATGAAGCAATACAGTTATATGTATATATAAGTAGATAAAAAAGAAGACGAATTTCGGGCAAAGCATGCAAAATTAAACTCACACCAATGATTTCGCTACAATGAGAGAACAGATAGATATCTGCCACCTAAACCCAAGTCTATTA